GGTGGCTGGCTGGTCGTGGAGGGGTGGGCCCCCCAAGTTCAGAGGCCTTGCCTTCTGTTGCTCAGCTTCCTCCCCTGTACATGGGAAGCTGTTTAGTCCTGGCGTTATGGGGCTGCTGAGGAAGTCTGGGGTGGAAGCGGGAATTTATTCATTCAGATCTGGGAAGAGGCTGGGGAGATGGCTCAGTAGAATAAGTGCTTGCCTGGCAAGTACAAGGGCCTGAGTTCAATCCCTGGTTCTACAAAAAAAGAAAGAAAGGAAGGAAGGAAGGAAGGAAGGAAGGAAGGAAGGAAGAAAATACACACCAAAAAAAAAAAAAAAACAATCTGGGAGGAAAGTCTGGAGGGCCCACTTCAGATCCAGCTGGATCCAGCTGCTCGGCAGTAGTAAGAATCCATCTCTTAACTGCTGATCCCCAGAGGCAACTTTATTTAGAGGTGTTGGTTCCCTCAGGATGACCAAAGGGGTACTTGCAGCTCCAAGCTGGCATCTGAAGCAAAAAGCTCTCCTTCCTTGGCTTCTGGGGCCAACCTCTTACCCCACAGGCTGCTCCTCTTACCCCACTCTGGGCTGATGGAGGGGTCACATGATCTGAGGGGAGAGAGCGATTCTCTGAAGGGTGTTGAGGTCTCAATTCTTAAGAGGGAATTACCTGGATACCCCGTGTGGGGCTTAAGGGCAACATCTATACAGACAACTGAGTTCCAGTTTTGGTATGTGACCTGTGTAGGCACTTTTGCCATTTGAGCTTTGGCTAGCTCCTCTGTACGAAGGATCACAGTTGTTACCTCTTCGGAGGTTAAAATGGGTTAATGTGTTAAAAAAGTGACTGGTACACAGTGAGCACTATGTGTGTTGATATGGGAGCCTAGCACTGGGTACATAGTAGGTGCTCAGTAAACACATTGTCACCACATAGAGATGTCCTTGGGCCCTCTCTAATGTCCTATGGACTTTGTCCAGAGCAAAAGTGGGGTTCTGGAGTAGGTGCCTGTGGTGCTGGTGGGGGTAGGAAACTAGGGAAAGCCCAGCAGAGCTGAAGTGGCAGGTGATGGTGAAAATCCCTCCTTCCAGAAACTGAGGTGCATGTCAGGGGCCTCCTTGGACCCTAATCATGCCCCCAAGGAGATGGTCCTGCTAGAAGGGTTGTGCAGGACAGTGCGGGGAGGGAATCACAGAACAGAAGGGCAGGGCAGGGATCCCACCTTGAGCTGAATTTCAATGACCTCCATCTCCTGCAAAGCTCTGAGGGAACAGAGTTGACTTCGCAGAGGAATGACAGCAGCAGGTGCACACCGCGTGGTGCTAGAGCTGGGCTTTGCTAAGTGCCAAGTGGGCTCTAGAGTGTGAGCCTCCTCGCTGACCTTCTTGGGGGATGTTCTTGGTACCCATCTTATAGGTAGGTAGGAGGTCGGTGGCAGCCTGGGCACCAGTCCCTGAATTTGCCCAAGATCGTGGAGAGGAAGTAATGTAATAGGAAGTGTGCATCGAGCACTTCCTGCAAGTCAGGTTCTGGTGGGTTTTGAACTCCTCAGAGAATCCCAGGAGGCAGGATATTGCTGACCCACTCTTCAGGTGAGGGCCCAGGACAGTGAAGGAACCTGTCCAAGGTGACTCAGAAAGTAGTAGAGCCAAGATTTGAACCCAGGGCATCTAGGTCCTGAGCTCACATTAAGCCCATCTTCTGCCTGTGGGAAGCTCACCAGGGCATAGCAGCATGGCTGTGTTGTCCTGGCAGAGTGAACTCTCAGCTGGGGGAGTGGGGGGCGATGCCTCCTGGTGTGCAGCCTTCACACTGCCCACCTCTTCCTGGCAGATGAAGTTCTCCCTGGAGAAGCTACACCAAGGCATCACAGTCTCAGACCCTCCCTTCGACACCCAGCCGCGGTCCGATGACAGCTTCTCCTGAGGATGCCTGGCCACACAGCCGCCCCCCCCCCAAATTGACGGACACACAGAGCCCCGGCGGCCACTGCTGGCATGGTGTGAGCGCCGGAAGCCTTCTGCCTGCTCCTTTCGGTGGCCTGGCCAGGGGCCACACAGAACTGGGGACCACAACCGAGATGCACTTTAGACCAGCGTGTGCGAGTCCAGCTGCCATCACCTGTCTGGCCAGGGAGCTGGCCTGGCCCTTGGCAGGCCCCCCACTAACTTATTTTGCCCAGCTGGGGTTGTGGGGGGGCACCCCCTGGGGTGCACTGTTCCCTCAGCTCTGGGTTTTATGTATTATATTTATTTGGGGCTAACAGAGCTCCAATAAAGGGATGAAAGTGGCTGTGGCTGTGGTTGTGCGGCCCTGGGAGTGGGTGGGGGCTTGGCTTCCCTTGGTTCTCAGATCCTGCTTCAGCAGGAAGGAGGCATCTGTCCATTTTCAGGGGCTGCAGGCGCTGAGGCCATTTGCAGTTTTCCCAGCATGTTCACAGACCTCATCAGAGTGCAAGCAGGGCCTCCAAGGACAAATTGGTTCCTGGTGGCCTGGGTTCAGCTGCTACCAGTAATCATGTAACCCAGAGCAAATCTGTCTTTCAACCTCAGTTTCCTCTGCTTAATGGGCACAAGAGCACCCTTCTCTCAGGGTTGCTTTAAGGGAGTGGTTCTCATGCTCCGGCTGTTCAAGCATCTGGAAGGCTTGCTGTACAACAGTACAGGGGGTCAGCCGTTTGGTGACTTGTGCTGGGGCCAGGCTGGGATTCTGCTGACAGCGCTCCCCAGGGACTGTACTTTGAGAACCACTATTAGGTGGATTTAGGGAGCTCATAGTTGTGCCAGGGCTTGGCACAGAGTAAGTATCCAATAGATGTAATGCTTATTATGGACAAACAGATAAGCAGTGGTTATCCGTTACATCTGCAGCTCTGTGCCCAGATGGGATGCTGATTTTTTTCTCACAGTGACTCCATCAGGTAGTAAAGATGCCTAAAAGCACCCAGTGGGGAGGGGAGACTCCAGGCCTGGCCATGGATTTCCATAGTTCCGTGAAGTGCCAACCCCCCTCAGCCCATCTGGGTGGAGTTTGTTTGAACACCTGTGCTACGAATGAGGACATGAGCCAAGGCCAAGTCCTGGACATGTAGGACCCTGAGGGAAGGAGCGGTCACAAAAGAGATCTTGGGCAAATCACGTGACAGGCTGGAAAAATTATCAGCCCCTCCTACCTTCCAGCAGTGGTCAGGACCAGTTATCCACCATGTACCTCAGTTTCCCATACATGTAAATTACTCACAATGCCATTACCTACTTTGTAGGAAGAACTGTATGAGTTAATGCTGGTTCTGTGTTTAGTTCAAGACCAAACCCATAGAAGATACCCAGGCAGCTTGCAGGGCAGTAGGGGCTGCCCTCTGCCCAGCAGTAAAGCTTATTATCCTCACTGTGCCACTGCATACCATCCCCCCCACCAAGGGATAGCTGGGAACAGAAAGACATTTTCTGCAGGAGAATTTTACAGTTTAGAAGGTGCTGGCGTAAAAGCCCAGACCACAAAGGTGTCTGGTGTCCCTGGAGGTCTGCCCCTCCGCCCTGGACGTGCCCCACCCCCTTGGGCTGGCACAGGATGCTGGGCCAGGGGAATTCTGGGATTTTACCTCAACTAGAACTGGAAGATAGGACTGGGGCAGCTAAGCTTTCACTTCCAGCCCAGTCATGAAGAATCTGCTCCCCACTCCCATTCTCTCTCTTTGGCAGAATCTCCTGATCTCACAGCCACTCACCACAGGATGAGCAGGAGTCTGGATCTCTTAGTCCAAAGTTTCTCATTTGTAAAGCGAGAATAATTAAACTTACTACGAAAGTCTTGGGAAGCAGTAGTGAGTTCAGCAAACCAGTCTCTTCTTCACTGAGTGATTACAGTGCCAGGCACAGTTCCAGGTGCTGTGACACTGTGGTGCCCAGGACAGTGGCCTCAGCCTGAGGGATCTGTGCTGTGGTAGTAGGCGGAGGTACCGAACAGATAAACTGTACAAGAAGGATGTAATGTTGGGTAGCAACAGCAACAAAGGAGGAAAAGAAGGTCAAGTCACTGGCAAGAGAAGCAGTGTAGCCTGAATGGGCACGGAAGACCTGACCAAGGTGATAGTGGAGCCAAGAGCTTTAGGAGATGAGGAATAAGTGACTTGGGTCACCTGCGGGAGAGTGGGTCTAGGAAGAGGCCGTGACTCCCCGTCCCCTGTGAGACAAGAGTGAGCCTTCTGTGCAGGGAGTGGGCTGGACAAGAGCGGGACAGATGACGTCAGAGGTGGGGGTGGAGATTTTTCTCGGAGGGTCGTCCTGGAACACTCCACAGCAGGGAACAGCCTCTGTGGTATGGTGTTCCTCCTGTTTGGGTGGGGTCTGTGGGAGTAGATGGAGTCTGAACCTTCTGCCCATGCCCATTTGGCACAGTGACCTCTAGGCCTAGATATCAGAGCTTTTGGGGGCAGGTCACTTAGACGGCCCAGCCTAGCTGTCCCAGGAATTCGCGAGGATGACCTCCGTAATTTGGAGAAGGGAACCCATCCGCAAACTGCCCGCTAAGTCCTCTGTGCGTCTCAAGGATGACCTTTCTCAGACTCGATGATGAGAAGTCCCAAAGTCAGACGGGGTCACACACACCCAGACCACCCGCCCGGTGCGAGCCCACGGGCCCTGCGCCACCCGAGAGGCCGGTGCGGCGGGCGACTCCCGGCCGCTGCGGCAAAGGCTGGGCGGCCGCGCCCTCCCCCCGCGGTGATTCATCCCGCCCCCTCCCTCTCTCCCTCCTCCCCTCCCAGGCCGCCGCCGCCGCCGCCGCCGCC